CTCTCCAACAGCATGCCATCATGCCATCACCCCGGCTGGTCACCTCTGCCAAGGACCACTTCCAACCTGGAACAGAGGAAAACCTCAGCACTTCTGCCCCAGTTGTCATGGCTTGACTCGGGTTGTCCTGGAGCCTCTCCGTCCTGGAACAGGATAGGGGACTAGCTCTATTCTCTCCCAGGGACTGGACGACACACAGTCCTGGGAGCTCTAGTCCTTACAAAGACTTTCCCCCACCAAATCCACCATGAGCTGAAACAAGGTGCTAATCAGTGATTATAGCTCTTCACCTCCCAGTAACTAGACGACACGATTCTGGGAGTACAACTGATTTTAATGAGCCAAACTCAGCCTTTTATGCACAGACCCCAGCAGGTGGTCTCTATTGTATTCTGCACAAGCCCCTCCCAGGAATCTCTGGGCCAGGGAGATAATTGCATTAAAGACTGGTAAGCTAATTATCTCCCAGGAACAGAGAACCAAACATAAAAATATAAAAAACATAAAAATACCCCCAAACATAATAAAAACATAAAATAACCCCTCAAATAATACATCTTTAACCCCTTAAGGACACATGACATGTGTGACATGTCATGATTCCCTTTTATTCCAGAAGTTTGGTCCTTAAGGGGTTAAAAAGCCCTGATCTGAGCGCCCAAGTTCTCCAAATAGTGCTTACATCCATACAGTGTAGGGGAAACGCCACCGTGTTAAAGTTCTGAATGGCCCCACACAAGGTCCTATGCCCAAAATAGTTCCAGGGTATTTGGTGCTTTTGCTGGTCAACTTTCGGGAGCTCCTGCAGCCGCAATACAGGGCGCTCCCCCTGGCACCTTTCCTCCAAAAAGCGCTATCCTGGCAGATTTCAAAGTGGTTCAAATGTGCAAACCAAGTTGTCTGGGAACTTCACGTTCATTTTATGCCACAAAAACAGTTCCATAACATTCGCGGCTAAATCCTGCTGAGGTGACCACAAAGTCTTCATGCCAAAATTAGTTCCATAGCGGTTGCGGTTAACTACAGCTGAGTACTATTTGTGGGTTTGGTTCATGCGAACGGGCGCCAGGGAGCCAGCGTTCAGTTTCATTCGCATGAAAGGAAAGTGCCAAACCAGGGGCACCAAGGGCACGCTACTAATGTGGTGGGAAAAAAGTCCTGATTAGAAAAAATGATGTTTGAAGCAAGGGTAAAGCCACTAAATGTTGATTTCAGTCAAAGAAGGGAGACATGACCAATATAGAGAGAAAAAATTAAGAGAATAAAGAAAAATCTATATTTTTACATATAGATATACCGTATTTATGCGAATCTAATACGCACCAAAGTTTTTGAAACCTGGAAGCTGAAAAATGTTTTTAATGGTAAATGTAATGCACATTTATACAAGAAGATACTACTAAACAACATTGTGCAACATTGAAAATGTTTATTGCCATATACCATAGTAACATTGAAGGTATTTAAATTTTACATGGCATGTTAAGTTTATTCTTTCTAAACCCTCTTTCAGGAATAAAACTTACCTGTTTAAATTCACCAGTTTTAATTTGCCTGTGTGAATTTGCCGGAATGTAATGTGTCATCAAATCTAATGCGCATTAAAATATTGGAAATTGTATTTTACAAAAAAGGTGCACAATAGGTGCACATTAGATTCGAGTAACTCTAGTATATATATATATATCTCATATATATATATATATATATATAGTAGAAGTATAATGGCACTCACCCTTACTGCTATGATAAAAATCTCTTGCCCTGGTGCTATCCCACGCTAGGATATGTAGTATATCAATAATAAGGATGCACTCTCCGGTCTTTTTTAAATATTCCAAGTGGTATTTATTCCGTCACATATTATGACAAATTGATCAACGTTTCGACCCGTTCGGGTCTTCCTCAGGATCAAGTGTATATTACAAAACAGGGTTTATATAGGATAAGTGTAAATTGTACTCACCAATAGTGACTGTATCCCGCCTATCCCCGTCCGAAACCCGGAAGTGTCTGACGAACATCACGTGATCCACGTGATGACGTAAGTGCGTACATAGTTGCTAGGAAACCGGCATCAACAATTAGTGTACAGCCGACAAAATAGAATATCGGCTTAATAAAGTTTTTAGTGAGAAGGTAGCAACTAACATTATATGAAGTGTTAGAAAGTAGATTGTATCTTGTCCAGCATATGTAGATGCTGTGATCATAAAGCGTTATTTAGTGACATATAAGTGAATCATCACCACTCATTAGATTATGTGTAATATTATACAACCGAGTAGCATGAATTGTGTGATTAATAGTAAGTAAGTACAGTTACTGTGAAAGTAAAAGAAAATCGATCAATACTAATCGATTTTTAAAAAAAAGGTGAAAGTAATAATTAAAAACAAAATTTGGAATATCATGGGGAATTATGTATTTACACATATATTTTAATTAATTTCATTTTAAGCTTTAAATTTTATATTTATAGGAAGCTATTTGCAGGCTGAAAGTCTTATTAAAAATCAATTTGATACTATCTGTACATATTAGTTATCATAGATTCTATTTGGCATAAGGTTTCATAGATTTAGGTTCGGGAGACAGACATAACTGGTGAGATTGAACAATCACATACTAGTACATAGAAATTAGAGTAGTTATTATATATCTCCTATTACAGAGTATAAGGAGAATATATATCTCCAGAGATATAAAAAGTGTTGTTATTAATACGTCTCAAATTACTACACATGTCATAATTATGATTATTATCTACATATATATATATACATCGTAGAATTCCTGGATGAATCTTGATTATTCAATATAGATTCAACACTTCAATCATATAAATAAAATAAAGATGTATATAGAAATATGTATACACCACCAATCAGATCATAAATCATCAGGAGTACTACAATCTAGACAGCTCCTATTGATATTATCCAATCCAAAGATTATATAAGGGATCACAGTTCAAGTTGTGATTTGAATTATAATTATACGTCTAAGACTTATAGAAATACAGAATAGACAATGTTTTCATTCAGTCCCTTAGGTGTCACAGTATCTAAGCGGTGTATCCAACGGGCTTCTCTTTGTAGCAACATTTTGGACCGGTCGCCTCCTCTTGAAGGCATAGGTATATGATCGATCGCAATAAAGCGTAGAGTCGGTAAACGGTGTCCCAAGTCCAAAAAATGTTTAGCCACTGGTTTGTCACTTGTTTTATCTCGAAAAGCAGTGGTGATAGTAGATCGGTGACCTCGTATCCGATCTCTAAGAGTCAGGTTGGTTTTTCCGACATAGGATAGGCCACACGGACAAGTAATCATATAGATCACATGGTCAGTGGTACATGTGATATATTGATTAATATTAATTCTCTGTCCATTGTGTGGATGGGCAAATGAAGCTCCACTGACCATGTGACTACAGGTGACACATCCACTGCATTTAAAGCATCCCTTTTTGGTAATTTTTGGAGAGATTTGGTAGCAACGTCTAGGATCATTTTTTACAAGCAGATCTCTGAGATTTTTATTTCGTTTGTAACTAAGTACAGGACGAGTTTGGAAAGATTTCGGTAGTTGTTTATCAGCTTGTAGTAATCTCCAATGTTTATTGACAGAGTTTCTAATAATAGACGTGCCAGTATGGTATGTCATTGGAATGTATATCTTTGGTATTTCAGATTTAGATGTTCCTTTTCTTCTCTTTACACCATCTTGTTTTTCATTTTCCCATATTTCTTTCGCTCGTAATTTAGCTGTATTTAGTGTCTGAGTCATATATCCTCTTGTCCTAAACCTATTCCACATCTCTTTAAACTGTTCTTCACAATGTTCACTAGTGGTGTTATATCTATACACCCTCAGGAACTGAGATATAGGTAGGGAGGATTTGAAACTTTTTGGATGAAAACTGGAAGCCATGAGTAAGGTGTTACGTTCCATCTTTTTGTGGTATAACATAAATTCTAGTTTCCCATCTTCTTTAAAGATAGTAACATCTAGAAATTGGATTGACTGTTTGTCATAATTCATTGTGAGTTTAACTGTGGTAGGAGCTTGATTAATTTCCAGAACCATTTGTTCAAGTTCAGAGATGGTACCCATCCAAATAAGGAAGATATCATCTACAAAACGATGATAGTGTCTAATCCGATCTCCGTATTTTGTTAAAATTTCTTTAGTTTCAAAGACGGACATAAAGGCATTGGCATAGGATGGAGCCATAGCCGCTCCCATGGCTGTCCCAGAAAGTTGTAAGAAAAAATTATTCTCAAATTTGAAATAATTACATGAAAGAGCAATGTATAGAAACTCCAACAAAAATTCTATCGGTGGTCCAAGGTATAGTGTAGAAGAACTCAGAATTTCACGTAGGGCCTGTACCCCACTATGATGTGGTATAACCGTGTATAGGCTCTGGACATCAAGGGTCACGAGGATGGAGGCATCGTCTATATTGGGATTAGAGTGAATATTTTGAATAAAATCTTGTGTGTCACGAAGGCAGGTAGGGAGTGCCATTATACTATTTTTAATATAGTAATCAATGTATTTAGTGATAGGTTCCAAAATACCTTCATTGGCAGACACTATAGGTCTGCCAGGTGGATTCTTAGGGTCTTTGTGGATTTTGGGTAACATATATAGTACCGGATGTTTTGGATATTCAACAGACAAGTATTGTGCCAATTTTTCATCTAGGAAACCATTTTGTAGTCCTAGTGTAATATGATTTTTAATTCTTGACTGGAATTTTTTCACTGGATCGAATGTAAGTTTTGTATATGTGTTGCCATCTTCCAACTGTCGTATGATCTCTTGTCGGTATTTTTGGTATGGTTGTATAACTATTGCCCCGCCTTTGTCCGCCGGATGGATAATAATTGTTGGATCTTGGCTTAGGTCCTTTAGAGCTAGCTTCTCACCTTTGGTCAAATTAGGATAATGTTTAGGTGGATTAAGAATCATTTTGTCTATGTCTGTCTTCACCGTTTGGATAAAAGTTTTGATAGATGCATTTGGTGTTCGAATATCCTTCTGATGTCTTTTATAAAAGGGGTGTGGTGAAGTCTTGACAATGTCTCGTCTGATTTCATGGCTATATAGGATCCGTTGGGTCTTGTACATTTCTACTTCCATGTGGAAAGGATCTGGTTTAGTAACAGGAACATAAGATAGACCTTTATTCAGTAAGGAGTAGTGGTCTGAATTCAATATCTTGTCTGATAGATTCACAACCACCGTCATTTCCTGATCCTGGGTGGTCTGCCTGTGGGGTTTATATTTTTTGAAGTTGCTCCGCCCTCTTCGTACTGGGCGGTTCTTTTTGCGCCTCGGGTGCCAATTCGAGGTATATCTGGTGGTTCCCCTCGTTGAGGATCCCTTACTAAAAAATTATCATTAGAATGTATTCTATGGTCCTCCCTAGAGTCAGGGTCTGAGGTGGAGTCGCCAGAACTGGTATCAATTGTTTGGAAGGATGGTTTGTGGATTTTTGTTCGAAATCTCGGATTTGGTCTGTAATTATCCTGTGAGCCTCCCAGCCATCTATATGCTCTAAAGGACCTAAGCCAAGATCCAACAATTATTATCCATCCGGCGGACAAAGGCGGGGCAATAGTTATACAACCATACCAAAAATACCGACAAGAGATCATACGACAGTTGGAAGATGGCAACACATATACAAAACTTACATTCGATCCAGTGAAAAAATTCCAGTCAAGAATTAAAAATCATATTACACTAGGACTACAAAATGGTTTCCTAGATGAAAAATTGGCACAATACTTGTCTGTTGAATATCCAAAACATCCGGTACTATATATGTTACCCAAAATCCACAAAGACCCTAAGAATCCACCTGGCAGACCTATAGTGTCTGCCAATGAAGGTATTTTGGAACCTATCACTAAATACATTGATTACTATATTAAAAATAGTATAATGGCACTCCCTACCTGCCTTCGTGACACACAAGATTTTATTCAAAATATTCACTCTAATCCCAATATAGACGATGCCTCCATCCTCGTGACCCTTGATGTCCAGAGCCTATACACGGTTATACCACATCATAGTGGGGTACAGGCCCTACGTGAAATTCTGAGTTCTTCTACACTATACCTTGGACCACCGATAGAATTTTTGTTGGAGTTTCTATACATTGCTCTTTCATGTAATTATTTCAAATTTGAGAATAATTTTTTCTTACAACTTTCTGGGACAGCCATGGGAGCGGCTATGGCTCCATCCTATGCCAATGCCTTTATGTCCGTCTTTGAAACTAAAGAAATTTTAACAAAATACGGAGATCGGATTAGACACTATCATCGTTTTGTAGATGATATCTTCCTTATTTGGATGGGTACCATCTCTGAACTTGAACAAATGGTTCTGGAAATTAATCAAGCTCCTACCACAGTTAAACTCACAATGAATTATGACAAACAGTCAATCCAATTTCTAGATGTTACTATCTTTAAAGAAGATGGGAAACTAGAATTTATGTTATACCACAAAAAGATGGAACGTAACACCTTACTCATGGCTTCCAGTTTTCATCCAAAAAGTTTCAAATCCTCCCTACCTATATCTCAGTTCCTGAGGGTGTATAGATATAACACCACTAGTGAACATTGTGAAGAACAGTTTAAAGAGATGTGGAATAGGTTTAGGACAAGAGGATATATGACTCAGACACTAAATACAGCTAAATTACGAGCGAAAGAAATATGGGAAAATGAAAAACAAGATGGTGTAAAGAGAAGAAAAGGAACATCTAAATCTGAAATACCAAAGATATACATTCCAATGACATACCATACTGGCACGTCTATTATTAGAAACTCTGTCAATAAACATTGGAGATTACTACAAGCTGATAAACAACTACCGAAATCTTTCCAAACTCGTCCTGTACTTAGTTACAAACGAAATAAAAATCTCAGAGATCTGCTTGTAAAAAATGATCCTAGACGTTGCTACCAAATCTCTCCAAAAATTACCAAAAAGGGATGCTTTAAATGCAGTGGATGTGTCACCTGTAGTCACATGGTCAGTGGAGCTTCATTTGCCCATCCACACAATGGACAGAGAATTAATATTAATCAATATATCACATGTACCACTGACCATGTGATCTATATGATTACTTGTCCGTGTGGCCTATCCTATGTCGGAAAAACCAACCTGACTCTTAGAGATCGGATACGAGGTCACCGATCTACTATCACCACTGCTTTTCGAGATAAAACAAGTGACAAACCAGTGGCTAAACATTTTTTGGACTTGGGACACGTTTACCGACTCTACGCTTTATTGCGATCGATCATATACCTATGCCTTCAAGAGGAGGCGACCGGTCCAAAATGTTGCTACAAAGAGAAGCCCGTTGGATACACCGCTTAGATACTGTGACACCTAAGGGACTGAATGAAAACATTGTCTATTCTGTATTTCTATAAGTCTGAGACGTATAATTATAATTCAAATCACAACTTGAACTGTGATCCCTTATATAATCTTTGGATTGGATAATATCAATAGGAGCTGTCTAGATTGTAGTACTCCTGATGATTTATGATCTGATTGGTGGTGTATACATATTTCTATATACATCTTTATTTTATTTATATGATTGAAGTGTTGAATCTATATTGAATAATCAAGATTCATCCAGGAATTCTACGATGTATATATATATATGTAGATAATAATCATAATTATGACATGTGTAGTAATTTGAGACGTATTAATAACAACACTTTTTATATCTCTGGAGATATATATTCTCCTTATACTCTGTAATAGGAGATATATAATAACTACTCTAATTTCTATGTACTAGTATGTGATTGTTCAATCTCACCTGTTATGTCTGTCTCCCGAACCTAAATCTATGAAACCTTATGCCAAATAGAATCTATGATAACTAATATGTACAGATAGTATCAAATTGATTTTTAATAAGACTTTCAGCCTGCAAATAGCTTCCTATAAATATAAAATTTAAAGCTTAAAATGAAATTAATTAAAATATATGTGTAAATACATAATTCCCCATGATATTCCAAATTTTGTTTTTAATTATTACTTTCACCTTTTTTTTAAAAATCGATTAGTATTGATCGATTTTCTTTTACTTTCACAGTAACTGTACTTACTTACTATTAATCACACAATTCATGCTACTCGGTTGTATAATATTACACATAATCTAATGAGTGGTGATGATTCACTTATATGTCACTAAATAACGCTTTATGATCACAGCATCTACATATGCTGGACAAGATACAATCTACTTTCTAACACTTCATATAATGTTAGTTGCTACCTTCTCACTAAAAACTTTATTAAGCCGATATTCTATTTTGTCGGCTGTACACTAATTGTTGATGCCGGTTTCCTAGCAACTATGTACGCACTTACGTCATCACGTGGATCACGTGATGTTCGTCAGACACTTCCGGGTTTCGGACGGGGATAGGCGGGATACAGTCACTATTGGTGAGTACAATTTACACTTATCCTATATAAACCCTGTTTTGTAATATACACTTGATCCTGAGGAAGACCCGAACGGGTCGAAACGTTGATCAATTTGTCATAATATGTGACGGAATAAATACCACTTGGAATATTTAAAAAAGACCGGAGAGTGCATCCTTATTATTGATATACTATATATATATATATATATATAGATATATATATATATATATATATATATATATCATTTTTTCATGTATGCATATATATCGACTGGATAGCACAGTGGTAATGTAATGTCACTGACTTTGAACTGGGAACCACAGGTCCGGAAGACACCTGATAATATATATAGAAACATAGAATGTGTCAGCAAATAAGAACCATTTGGCCCATCTATTCTGCTGAATATTTCAAAATACTTTTAATTAGTACCTGGCCTTACCTTAAGTCTAGGATATCCTTATGCCTATCCCACGCATGCTTAAACTCCCTCACTGTGTTAAACTATACCACTTCAGCTGAAAGGCTATTCCAGGCATCCACTACCCTCCAAGTTCACTGTCCTCTTGTTGTGGTAGTTTTTCTTCTTTTAAATATATATGGCATGAGCACTTCTTTCTTTCTACTGCTAATACCTCTCCCTATACAACCAAGCATTCTGCTAGCATACCCAGCAGCTCGATTACATTGTCTTCCTACCTTTGCATCATCTGAAATAATTAATCCTAAATCCCTTTCCCCACATGTTGAGGTTAGTAGGGTATCAAATATCCTATACTCCGCCCTTGTTTTTTAAGTCCAAAGTGCATTATCTTATCCACATTAAATTTCAGTTGCCACAGCTCTGACAATTTTTCTAGTTTACCTAACTCATTTGCCATTTGGCTTATCCCTCCTGGAACATCAACCCTGTTACATATCTTAGGATCATCGGCAAAAATATATACATTATGTGACGAGACCAATCTCGCCACTGTGCATTGGAGGAGCCTGGTTGCCTGCCTGCTGCCTTTTCACTATGGACCGGCATTTAAATACTTTATTTTCCTATTCAGAAAGGTCTATTCATGTTTTCTGCCCTGGCATTTGGTAGATTTACTGAATGAACTCATATAACCCAGATAGCTATGCCATGGAGCCTATTCGTGTAATAAAATACTTTGGCTCCATGGCAATTGAACTGTATGTGTGTGTGGTCTGAGCGCCATTCAGTATTAATGTGCGCTCAGACCTAAGCTATCTGGGCATATGTTGCATGTCTGTATTTTATTTCATAAATGTAACCTTGTGTATTTTATTGTATTTTACTGTCTTTTTACTGCCATGTGCTTAATGGAGTTCTGCCTCTGTCCTTGGAGATAATTGGATTACTTCCCAATTATCTCCAGGATAAACTCTGTGGAACTGGTTTTGGGCATATGTATTTGGAGTATGCTGATTCTGAAAATGTAAGTTTTATGTGAATGTGATGCATACTTTTAAAGTTATGAATAATGTGCAAAAACTGTATTTCTCTGCCGGTGATAATTACATTACCCATTGTGTAAGGTAATTGTATCACAGGCAGAGGGGAGGATTTTGTGTGGGAGTGTCTGAGTGTATTGTACGTGTTTATTGGTTGTTTTCCAAAACCCTGTGGGTGGTACTAATGTATATATAAGAACAATAAACCCACAGCTCTGTTTGTTCCTGCTTTACCCTCAAAACGGAGCCTTGTCTCGTTCTTGGGGGGATTTATTGTATGCTGTTCC